AACACTAAGGCTTGAAATTTAAAAAAAATACTAAATATTGGTTGGCTCAGAATGTAGAAACGTAGAATGTAAATAAAAAGCTTTGGTGAATGAAAAGGTCTGAGTTAAAGCTTTCGTAAAACTATTTCAAGGATTCAAATTTTCCAATGGAACACGGGAGATCATTCCACAACTTAGGAGCATTTTATTAGCTGAATCACTGAAAATGCAAATATTCTCTACTCTGTTCAGACACCCCAAAGTTTAGAACTGTACAAAACAAATATTAAGCGACTTATTTTAAATTTGCAATGATTTTCTTGTACATAAGGCTTATGTCTTATTGACATGTGAAACTCGTACGCCAGCATCTTTTTTGTAAATAGAAGAAAGATGGTCTATAACTTTCGAGCTCGGTAAGGAAACAAGAAAGATATGTTTTTAGTCTAGTCACTAGCCTGGGACAAAGAGGATATTCTGATTCCCCACGAGGAATCGCACCTCAGACCCTCGGATTCCGCCCTCCAATGCTCTACCACTAAGTCACAGACAGACGCCTGGCTCCCTTTAGGCCAGTAAGCCCGGACTTACAAACCTTTCTCGGTATGTTTATTTTTTTTCTTGGAATATAATTCCGCACTATACTTAAGAGGTATGAAACTGGCTTATTAAAAGCCAAAAACGACTTGCTAAGTATCTGGCAGAGACTCCATGGTGAGCAAGGTCATTACGAAGTTCATATATGACTCGCGTTTAGCAAACTGCATGGATCAGCAATGTCGATAGCGTCATCAAATAGAAGAAAGATGGTAAGTTTTAAGCTTGGTAAGAAGTGAGAAAGATGTTCTTCGTGTAGTCACGCTCGTGACTAGACGAAAAACGTCTTTCTTATTGCTCTCAGCATCTCTTTTCTCGACTTTGCTGTTCGCGATAATGGTTTTGTCGGCAAGGCGTACTCTTTGATCCTTTACCATAATAAACGCTGTTATAAATAGATCAATCTAATACATTTTATTCTCCTGCATCGCAAAGGTCAATTACGAATTTGTTATTTAATTGAACTTCCGTGTAATGAGCCGACCATGGTGTAAAGTGATCACAGCATCAACACCACAACAACGAAAGAAAATATTTGTTTGACGCAGAGAGTTCATACTAAATTGACAAAAATGTGCTCAGAACATGCTAAAAATAAAAACTTAAGTAACGCCCATTATAGAAAACACTGTTAAAATGTTTGGTCACAGTCCACTTTTCTGAACGTGCGCGGCACAAATCCAGCATTAACCTTCGAGTTTTGTTCGATTAAACTAATTATCTTGTTCAACAGAAGTGTAAAGTTTCTAATCAAGCTGGATTGAAGAAAAGACCTCTTTAGCGTTTATTTTCTTTAAAATTTCCTCTCTCTCAGGTGCAAATTTTGCAAAAGATAAAGCTGAGAATATCCTTGAGACTTCAAATGGAGAAACAAGATATACAAGCTAAAGAGGTCTAATGACAGCAATTTTGATCGAAGGCTTTGAAACGCAAATCGAGGAAATTCTTATCAGAAAGAATTATTGAGTAGTACAAAATGTTTGCTAAAAATATTTAAGGTGCATCACTAAACTCAGCGTAGGTTCAAATTAATCGTTAAGTTATCTCTCTAACTTTTAGGGCGATTGTGTCATGTACGGTGCTAGAAACACAATCCGAGAACATAAGTTTCCCAGAATTAGATAAACTTTCCAGTGAAATATAAAACTTAAAAGAAAACGGACTCCTCTATTCTGATCACTGGGAACAGCACACAAGAATCATTGTGTTTTCCTAATTTGAACTCCGTATTTGCAGAGCATCTACATGCCTATAATGATGCTTTTGTAGTTTACTTCAACCGGTGGAAATCCTTTTTCCAGCATGTCGAGACTGGCACGAACAATATATAGTATAGCCACAACAAAATAAGAGAATTCAAAAGTTGAAAGACAAGTTGTCACTTACCTACAGAAATGACTCGGAGATTTCTCCTTGAAAGGAAACGGAAATTTTCTTGAATTATCAGAGCAGCAGCCGAGAACACTTCTTGCTTTAAATTGCAATTAAGTCAAAATGCATTAAAACCATACAATAAGGCGATTTAAAATCTCGTTGAAATTGTGAAAACTCCTGCAAATCGCCGGAAATTCACTCAGATTGTTTTTCAAATTTCTTCATAAGGAAACACAAACCGGGTTTTGATTGGACAAACAGGTGGTACAGAAATCTAACACGCTTTTGTTTATATGATTATCTTTTTTTAATTCGATCTTCTCCGTTCCAAAGAGGAGTCCTGAGAACGAAATGAATTTTTCACAAGTTGTTCTGTTAATTTGCAGGAATTTCATTAACTGTAATATATCACACTACATAGAAAATACGCAGAAATTTAAGTCATTCTCAAAGTTTTTTTCCACCTAGACAATAACATTTGCGTGCAAATTTATTATGACTCCATATTACGGTCAAGTACTTAATAGTCCTTCACCAAGTGGGTTGTGAACGCCGAATCGGAAATTCACCTGCCTAACATTACAAAGATTTTCTTTTCATCGACTGTAAATTAAAAACATAGGTTTCATTTTGGTCATATAACCGGAATCTAGCAAATTTTGAATTGACTCTCGTCGACACTCGTTTTGAAAGGAGGAAAATTTACTCGACTTCAATTTCCGGCTTTCAGATAAAAAAAATAATGACAGCTTCAACAGAGCAGAAAGACGTAACGGAAATTTCCAAAGTTTACGCTTCCTTCAGCCCACGTTAATAAGCAGAGTTAATTGCATTTGAAAAGGATATTGTGAGTGCTTTTCAAAGTTTAAATAAAAATGTTCTTTGAAATAACCGTTCTTCTATCAAATCAAAGAAAAACATCAGAGAAATAAGAATAAGGCAGAAGAAAAGAGAGGTTTTTGAAATGGCGACGGTTGACGCAAATTGCAGTTGACAAAGTTAAAAAATTGAGCTTGTAGACATTTTAACATGAACAAACAGTAACTGAAATCCAAGCACATGTACTTTTTCTTAGATTTTAAAATGTTTCTCTTGAAAATTGTTGGGCTCATGTTTTTGTCCATACGGTCGTAGCATTAAAAGAAGTCAGTTTAGAAAAACGTTATTTTATCCATTGTTTTTGAAAGTCAAGTTCGCTGTTTGAGTCTTATGCAGAAACCAAGGTATTAGAGCTTCCCAGATGTTGGTAGCAAAAAGGGATTCTAAACCATAAATTCGACTTTTCATAAAATATAAGTAGTCTACCCGAAAATTCTTACACCAGAACTGAAACTAAACAAACGATTCCTTTGTACATCAACTTTACGCCTATACTATTGAAATATATGGGCAGATTCGTCCAAGCTGAAAAAATTCAAGAGAAATTTTTTCTTAGGTTGTGACGAAACCACATGTCACGTATGTCTAGTTGATAAGTTTGTTTCTCTGTGTTTGTATCGAGACAACAATCGGGTAATCTATAAAAAAAATTTATCCGTTTCAGAGAGTGGAGAATGTAACAACAAGACAAGCAGTTTCACTGTAAGGCAGTTTTCAAATGAGTATCGACAGTAATCAGGAATTCATTGGTTTTGCTTTTAAAGCTTTGCAACTGGCCCAAAAAAGCTGGCGCCATTTTCTCAGCCAATCAAATACAGAACTATAGAACCAATCATAACTTAGCAACCATTATTTTCCCACGCTTTAGGAAGTCTGGCTTCTTGTGAAATATATTTCCTATGTTCAGGTAGACCGTAATGTGACTACTTTGCATTGGATAAAAGGGCCGTAAGTTTTATTTGCTTTGTTGATAATGTGAATAGGCCGTTGTAAAAGATTCTAAAGTCATCGTTTCAAGCGTTAGCCCTTGCTCTTAAGAATCTCTTAACGGTTGTCAATAAACATCATCAACTCAACTGATATCACTTAAATCCCTTTGACTTGGGTTTTACAACATTTTATCGAAATGTGGTTCCTCCAGCAAACAATATGACAGATCAAATTTTAGGACTGTTCTTGATCATCATGCCCAGATTTCAAGTCAGGCGCATGTCCAGTCACGAAGATTTCTCCGGCGTTGCTCGGTAACGTTGACGACAACCACTGCGTAATCTCAGACGACAACTGGTTTTCTTTATATCTCATTACATAGTTTTCTTTGTGTGGTCTAAATTTACATCTGTATGTTAATTTGGTCGTTTACCTATGTAAGTTTAGGACTTAATGCTTACACTTTGTGCATTATTTTCTTCAAATTGATAAAAGTGGAGACATTCATCTATAAAGTTTTTGTGCATGATAACGTTTTATATTACATATATTCAGCATAAGAGTAATAGCAGTGATAAAGACGGTCTTGGTTATCAAAGCTTTCTCGAAATTTTTTGAGGTTGCGTTTGCTCGCCATGCGAAGGACAGCGTCTTCATCTATTTCATCAATTTTGTTCCTAAATCCTAACGGACCAGAGAGTGGAGGAATTTTTTGGGGGGGATTACATGGTTTTCAGGGGAAACGAACGGGGGATTAGTCGTCACCAAAAGAGTAGTGTTAATTGACTGCCAATTTGATTGTGCCAATGACACAGTCAAAATCTTCCCACCCACTAGGAGATTAGTAATAGCCGATCCCTAATGTTACAGTGGGGTAACATTGAATGATTAAATATATCAGTGCAGAGAAATTTATGTATATATATTATGTCACTGTTCATAAAATAATGCGAGCGAGTCGCTATGGCATAAAAAATATTTCCCTATAAGCAGTCGTGTACCGTGGGGCGATGGCTGAAGATGAAACAGCTTTCAATTCTTCTTATGTTTACCGTTTCCTTATCAAACTGGCCACAAAAGGCACACGGCAGATCACGCTGATCAGCTCATTATGCAACCATGCCTTCGTCGTAGTTCAAGCGATTTTAACAGGACGAGGTTTGCTGATAAATACTGCTTCAATAACAATATTCTACAATTTCCTCCAGTCTGCATCCTTCATTACAGCATTCCTCTTGAATGCTGGTGGTTCCTCCTCCTACGTAAGTGTCTCTCCTTTGTCGAATCGAGGACAGGAAATCCGTTGCTTCGTATTTTACTTGAACAATTTGGTCAGCAGTTGCATCTAGCAAGTAAAAAATGACGTAGTTATTGCAAAAGGTAGCTGACAAGGACAAAGTTTCATTCTTTCACTCAGATATGCGTTCATTTATTCATTTATGTCCTCGTCCATTTTTTCATTTATTCACTTTCGTTCAGTTCCTTTTTACATGCATTTTCCTTTTCATTCATACATGCATTCATGAATATCGTGGACTCAGAACATTTTCTTCAGACTGTCATTTTGCTTTCGCCTGATTTAGAGCAATCAAGTGTCGAAAACCAAAACTAAAGTAATCCCAGCAACCAATCAGAACAAAGGTTTTACATTATCATCAGCCAATTAGAACTCAAAGTGAAAACAAGCAAACTGACTAAACCGCGGGAAAACACGAACGACCGATTTGCAATTATTTTTAGTTTTGCATCTGATTGGTCGAGAGGACGGCGTGCGTTTTCTGAACCAATCACAGAGCAAAGTTAGATGAACCCAAGGCAATCTCGTATTCCTTTTGACACTCCCTTCTTGATAAGCAATTGAAAGTTTTTCTTATATCTTCATGATATAATTACCTCGTCTTTGCTTGCGTCTACGCCTTCGCTTGGGCCAATTTGATTCCCACAATGCATTGCAGGCTGATTTAAATACCCACATGAGATGATCGCCACACAGAGTGTATTAGGTATGTGTTGTTGGTGATGGTTTGATTTTCTTAGAATTTCGTGTCGTAACAGCACTGCGCCCCAAAATCTCAGGCAGGTCTATCGTCAGTATTAGAAGAAAAAGTATTAATCCAGCTTTGACCAGATCCATCCTGAAGAGAAAGTCAATCATTTTCAAGGGAATTAGATTG